CCTCACATGCTGCACAGAGAACCCAAGGTTCTCAACATATTTGGCTCCAGTTCCCATCAACCCCAGCCAGAAAAGCCAACTGTAAAGCGTTATAGGAGTTGCAGTTCAGCAACATCTAGGGCCACAGATTCTCACCACAAGGCAAGACACACTAAACCCAAAATATTCTTTAAGACCCAGGCCTCAGGTTTTCCACACATATTCTGTTTTTCACAGTAACTCAGACCCACTAACACACACACACACACAAAATCAACTCACAACTGAGTGGCTCTGAGTGGATTCAACAGAGCTGAGAATTTGCTCTGTACCAGAACTGAACAGAGCTCAGTTGTTCCACTCCAAGCTTTCATTTCAGATGAACAATAAGAAATTATTTGCTGCTGTAACTTTAATACTAGTGAGAGATCTACCAGTAGATCTGGATTTTTCTTCTGCCCATCCGCCCTTAGTACTCAACTCACCCAGACATTTCATGATATGCACACATGCACACATGCACATCAGTTTGCCTGTTCCACTGCTGAAATGCAATAGGGCTTTTTCTCTGAACACAGATAACTACTGTACTGACAATACAGAAACAAAACACATTAAAAAGGCAAATGAATGAAATCTTACATGTTTCCTTACAGAAACAGAGCTTAAATAAGTATAGGTTCTACCAATGGACATGGACTTGCCCTTAATATCAGGTGAGAATAGAAAAATACAGATTACACAGGATGTTGGGGAGACTGTTAGGATAAAGAATGCAAAATACTAGCCCAAGTGGTTTCTCAAAATGTGAAGCTCATACAAATGAAATTAAAATACACAAACGTATCTGTTTGCACAAAACAAAACTACCTCCAGGCTATTCAACTCTAGTCAATCTACTAGCAGTTCTCTGTGCACCACCATACGCCAGAGCTTTCAATCCAGCCTTATTTTAAAGGAAGTGCCAACAGTTTTATAGACTTCCTGTTACTAAGTGCATAAACTAGAATGAAAGAGAAAGGATTTTGCTTCTTTCTTTGAGTGTCAATAGTTGCTTATTTCACAAGAGGAACAGAATTCTCCTCCAAAGTAGGTTTTCTGTTTAATAAAATTATGGAGGAACAGCGTCATATATCTTGGTTGTTAAACTGTGTACACATTAAGACAAACTTAACATTCTTATGACAAAGACAGGCAAAATGAATAAGTCAAGCATATTTAAAACACTTCTTTTCATAAATAATAAAAATACGTGATTTAAAAATAAATAATCTAAGAAATTTTGAAATCTGTTTACAGATAAAAGCAATACAAAGGATAAAAAAATTCATTATAACATCTCAATCATGATCACCTAGCAGACACAACAGTGGTTAAAATCTGTATTCTTCTAAATGACACAAAGGAAGACAAATGTTGTAGAGAGAGAAAAAATTTCAGCCCAAAGAGTATATATAGCTCAATGCCAAGCCTTATTAATATATGTTATCATGTCAGTTTTCTATGAACTCTGGAGATTGACTACAGAGCACTTTACTGCAAATGAAATGAGCTTTTCTGTTTACACAATATTTGCACAATTCTTAGAAACGTTTAGGCACTGTCTAATTACTACCAACAATCTTCACTTGTACAACATCCTAAATACTTGTGGTCTATGCATTTTACTTTCACAGTAATCCTGCTCGTTCAATAAAATCAATAACCAAACAGTTATGCACAACTTTGGTCTTCAAATTGATGATCTAGCTTAGTATCCTAATTGTTTCCGATCTACAGTGAGCATACGAATGAGTGAGTTCTGACATGTCCCACCAGTAACAGCCTTGCTCAAATGATCTAGCTTAGTATCCTAATTGTTTCCAATCTACAGTGAGCATACGAATGAGTGAGCTCTAACATGTCCCACCAGTAACAGCCTTGCTCAGCTCCTGTAAACTCAAGATGCTGCCTCCTTGATGGAGTCAACCCATCTCATATTTGGTCCACCCCCCTTTCCTTTTGCCTTCAATTTTCCTCAGTATTTTTATCTTTTTCAGCAAATCTTCTCATCATTTGCCTACAGTATGAAAGCCTCAGTTTTGTCCTTTTTGCCTCCAGAAATAGTTCAGGTATGACTTGATCTAGAATCCATTTGTTCCTCTTTCTGGCAGTTCAGAGTATTTACAAAGCTCTCCTCTGGTGCCATATTTTAAATCAATCAAATTTTCTTGTCAGCTTTCTTCACTGTCCAGTCTTCCTTCACACCCATACATTTTGACTGGGAATACAACAGTGTGGATCATCTTGGTCTCCAGTGATGCATCTTTACACTTGATGACCTTTTCTAGGTCCTTTACTGCTGCTCTTCCAAGAAGTCTACTTCAGATTTCTTGACTGCAGCCTCCACTTAGATTGATGACTATAAAAGTTTTTAACAATTATAAAAAAGTCTTTAACAATTTCAATTTCTTTATTGTCAACATTCAAGTTGTACATTTCTTCTACAGTAATGGTTTTTGTCTTCTTCATATTCAACTCCAGTTCCTTACCTAATTTACTATCCATAAAGAGATTCCAACAAAACCTGTTTCTGGTTCCAAGCAGACATAAAAGGCACATGGCTTGCAAAAACTTTAGACTTATGTCTATCTTTTGGAGAGAGAAAAAAAGATTTCTTCAATTTCAAATCAACTATTTTGTTATAGCAAATACCATGCAGATTTTTGTTGTAAAGTACATTGGTTTCAAAATACAGTAGTAAAGTTGGTTCAAGTTGGTCTGTTTTTTAGGCAACTTTGACAGTTTTAATTTTAAATTATTTCACCCTGTTTCTTAAAAGCTAGCCATATAGAAATCCCATTTACACTTCACTTTTATCTACACTGAACAAGTAAAACTATTATTCCTCATTCATTACCAGGCCATTGCTGCAAGTACCACACAGTTCACAAGTTTCTAGGAACAGAACCAAAACTGTAGCAGTGCAGCATCCATGAATACCAACAAAAGGCAAAAAGAAAGAAAAGCATTTCCTTGTGCCAATTGCCTTGCTACATTGCAAAAAACTTTCCAATAGACAAAGGCAACACACACACACATACACACAAACAGCACTTTGTGGAATCAGGAGCCATTCTTCATGACCACAAAGAAAGCTGGGTATCACAGAAGTAATACTTGAAATTCTTGTTACTATAAAGAACTACAGATGCAAAGAAGCACATCTCTATGTATTAAACATTCAGCAACCGAACAAAAGTCAAAGCAAGATGCTTTGTGGAAGTTTTCTGTTGCTGCCAGCTTTTCCACAATAATCCACTAAGGAGATTACACAACAAAATAAGAGAACTCCTAGCTTCTCCCTCATTACTCTGGCGGAGAGAGAGTGTATTTGATCATCCAGAGCTTTTTGGCCAGTTCAGCAGTAGTACTTAGCATGTTACAAACTAAAAGCTCTCCACACCAGATGCTGTTTGTAAGCTGAACACTTTCTGCCACATTTATTGATAAAGTGCAAAATATTAAGATCCTAAAATGAGAACCAAACACCTCCTTAGTACTCCATTGATAGTGTCCTACTTTCTTCTGACACAGCCCCACATCAACAGTTTACAGCAGTGATGGTGAACCTATGGCACGCATGCCACAGCTGGCACACAGAGCCCTCTCTGTGGGCACACGAGCTATAAGTCGCCATAGAGAATTACTTACCCGTACTCTAATCCCAGATTTTAGCACTCCCCTCTGCTGGTGCAGTGGTCCAGCAGAGGGGTGCAATGGCACCCATCACCAGTCTAGCCCAATGGGGGATTAGGGGACCAGGAAGTATTTCTTTGTTAATACTACCCATAGGAAGAAAAAACACAAGCATTTAACCCTTGCAGTGTAGGAGCAGTTGTTTTTTCTAAACTAAAACCTCAGCATTTGGGTTTTAATTGCAGCGTTGGCACCTCGAAATAAATAAGTTGATTTTGTGTTGCAGTTTGGGCACTCGGGCTCTAAAAGGTTCACCACCACTGGTTTATAGTCTCTATTTCCTCCTGGGGGGGGGGAACTGCCCCCCCACCTTCCCTTCAAAGTTGCCGATCCCCTCATCAGTCAAGATTCCCATTAAAGTACGTTTAGGGAGGTAAGCTCCCGGGAGAAATGGTGAATGGAGGAGCGCTCTATCGTGTGTGGTTTTGGCTCCTCCCCCAAATATTTACAAAACGTGCACATAAGACCACTCTCACCTATTGAGTCCCGGGCTTTACCCCACACCCCCCTCCAACTCAGAATACTTCAGAACTTTGTATTTCCTTTTCTCCTTCTAATCCCAATGCCCACAAAGCCCACACCAAGTACCGGCCAGACAGGCTGTACCAGACCGAGATAAGCCT